TTGGTCATTTTGTAGTTGGTTATGTTGATTCAGATTGTGCAGGTGATCTGGATGGAAGAAAGTCTACTACAGGCTATGTGTTTACTATGGCTAAAGGGCCAGTTTGTTGGAGGTCCATTTTGCAGTCGTCTGTTGCCTTATCTACTACAGAGGCTGAATATATGGCAGTTGCTGAAGCTATAAAGGAGACCATTTGGATACATGGGCTGATTAGAGATTTGAGGGTTGATAAGAAGCAGGTGGAGGTGCATTGTGATAGTCAGAGTGCCATTTATTTGGCTAAGTATCAGGTTCACCATGTGAGGACCAAGCACATAGATGTGCGTTATCACTTTGTTCGTGAAGTTGTTGGTGAAGGAGAAATCATTCTCTAGAAGATTCCAACTAAAGACAACCCCGCTGATATGTTGACTAAGGTTGTTGGTGTAGCCAAGTTTGTTCATTGCTTGAACTTGGCTCACATTTTGCCTATATAAAGAAGGCGATGAGCAGTAGGAGTTTTGGAGCATTTGGCTCGGCATGAGTTGTTCTCTTGCTAGTTTTTGGGAGTGTTTTTGTGTTGGTTGGCTTATCATGGTGATTTTGGAATTTGGCCAAGGTGGAGATTGTTGGATAGTGGCCAAATTAGTGGCCAACTTGGCATCCACTTTTGGCTATTAAACAAAACAAAAGAATGAAAGACAAAATGATGAGGGAACATCATGATGAGGAGGCATCATGATTATGTTTCCTTATTTTGTGGCTTTTTCAAAGCCATAATTATTGGTTTTCTTCGGATGGAAAATAAGAGAGAAGTGAGAGCTCATTTTTCTGCAGAGAGCAGGGAGAGTTGCAGAGAGCCCAAAAGGAAGAAGAAGCTGCTGCTTCATTTGGTTAGTAATCATCCACCAAAGTAGTTGTTGTTGTAATAGCTTTGAGCTATATGTAGAGAATAAATTATTCATTATATTTCTTTCTCTATTTGTTTATGTAGTGTGTGAGAGCTATTGGGTGTATTGGGTTATTTGGGTTGTGAGATTGCCAACACTTTGTAAACTCCCAATTGGTTGATAGTGGATTATTGGGTGAGCTCCTATTGCTCCGAGGACGTACTCTTGTTACATTGACTATTGAGGAACCTCGTTAAAATCTTGGTGTCTTTTATATTTTTGTTCTTGCATTTCATTTGATAAATTTCCTGTGGGTTAGTTTGAGTTGGTTTCATTTGGTTTGGTGCTATCCTAACAGAACAAGTTCTTCTCCCAAAGTTCTGCGTTTGCCGTGAGTCAGGACCATACACCACCGTCACCCTTTTCGAATTTGATACTATGATACCACTTTAGGAATATGGAGTCTCGACTTCTATTTGGAAGTGAACTTTTATTAAATGAGAGGAAACTAATTAAGAAAGGAAATGAAGAAGTTAATAAAGAAGCTTTGAATTGCTTACAGAATTGCTTGATTCATTTTAATCAATAACTTACTTATTCATACAATACTTGATTACTAAAATTAACTAAACTAAAATAGTAACTAGTTTTAAACCATAAAGAATGAATGGCTTAAAACCTCAAACTTGTTAAAACCATCAACTGTTTACGGTTTATAACAAATTATAAACTATTGGGTTTTTATGGTTTTAAGTAATTTAGTAATATAAATAATTAATTATTTTGGTAGATCCTCTTGCATCATCGAGTCGCCTTCAACAAAAGCCAAGTTTCTTCACCATAGTTCTTTTCCAAGCACACAAAACCACAAACTATCACCTCTGATGTGGACAGTACGTATTGAGCTCTAAAATCATATGTTGAGCAGTAAGTTATAACCACTAAAAAAAGCTCTCCTCGACAAAAGGTGAGATGGACTACAACCACGAAGACTCTTCTCGATAGAGCAAGAGAGCGATCACTACTAGAACTAATGAGAAAATGACAAAGAAGAGTTCACAAATGATTGCTGCTGACCCCAACCTTTGGCTGGTGTTAGGATTTTTTCCCTTGCAACTTTATATTTCAAGCAAGTAGATTACATAAGTTTTGCTTTGGATTTTGCTAGATTTTGTAGTCATGTTTAACATGGAGGACTAGAAGAACTGGACTGACTAGCTAAATAACTAGATTTCATGTGCAATAAAAAGATAATATAATATTAAACTTGTATTCTATGTTGGAGGATTAAGATGGTGTATGTTTCTAGAAGGTCGATGCCGAAAACTTACTCTACTAATCCCATCAATTTTTAAATTTAACAGGCTTAGCATGGATAAGTTTTAGCCATCAGCCTTCTAGAATTACTCCATCTTAATCCTCTTGTTGAATTGTAAGTCTATAGTTGATTAGGAATAAGTTTTTGTATTAATGTGTGTATGCACTTGAGTTAAAATACCAAGTGAGAAGTTATATAGTAGTAAGGCTAATAATGCCAGGTGTAATGATCCTAGCAACTAGCTAGATGAAGGGTTGATGTTGCTTTGTAATGAGAGAGAATCCATCTTGGATTCTAACGATTAGTTAAGCACCAGATGAGTGAGTTTTGGAGAGAGAGAAGCAATTGAATATGCTCTGCAATATTCTGCAGAGAGGAAGAAACCATTTCTGAAATTCTTCTTTGTCCATCCTTCATTCTTTGTTCTTCGATTGCTTGTCTTATAACCAAACTTTGAACCAAATCACAACAATATAAACATGACCTCAGAGCTAGGTTCAATCATCTGAGCCTGGGCGTAAATCTGTGAATTCATTGAGCTAAATCGAAGCTTACTCCAAGCTCGGTGAAGAGAAAACAACTTATTCAGACCAAAGATGTCTGGATCTAGAGGCTCGGAAGTGAGAGCTCCAATTTTCTCCGATGAGAACTACGAGTTCTGAAGAATCAAGATGGTGACAATTTTCAAATCACATGGGTTGTGGAATCTAGTGGAGAAGGGAGTTAAAATCTCCGATTCGAAGAAGAAGAAGGTTGAAGGATCATCAGAGGATGATGGAGATGAAGAAATGGCTGTTGTGTTGATGAAAGATGCAAAGGCTATGGGAATCATTTAGAATGCTGTCTCTGATCAAATCTTCCCATGAATCGCCAATGCCGAATCAGCAAAGATGGCATGTGATTTGTTGTATGGAGAGTACCATAGTGGTGATCAGGTAATGTTTGTGAAATTTCAAAATCTGAGACGTGAATTCGAGGCTAGAATGCGTGATGATGAAACTCTGTCTAGGTATCTTACTAGGCTAAATGACTTGATTAATCAGATGAAAATGTTTGGTGAAATTCTGTCTAATAAAAAACTTGTACATAAAGTTTTGATTAGCCTTAGTAAACCATATGATCCTATATGCCTGGTTATTGATAATACAAAATGTTTGGAGATCGTAGAATTGCACGAGATTATGGCAATTTTGAAAAGCCAAGAGCAACGGTTTGATTTGCACAGTGTTGACACCACTGAGAGAGTTTTTGCTTCACTCTCTGTGAATCCAAAGGAAGAAAACAAGGGTGGCACTTATTCTGGTTTATCAAGATTTCAAAGAAACTGGAATTCAAAAGGCAAAAAATGGGAATCAAAACCAAAGTTTTAGCAAAAATCTTCTGTGAATACTTATAAGAATATGAATGCATCTTAGTCAATGAGTCAAGAGGTTACAAAGCCTCAGTGCAAGGTGTGCTCTAAGTACCATTTTGGTGAGTGCAGATACAAAGGGAAACCAAAATGCTTCAATTGTTATAAGTTTGGGCATTGGGCTAGAGAATGTATTGTAACTAAAATAGTGCAAAAGGCAAATAAGGCAAACCAAGGAAGTGACCGGGAATCTGTTTTATGCTAATAATGCAACTATTAAGACCAAAGTAAATGGAGAGTGGTACATTGACAGTGGTTGTAGCAACCACATGATAAGAGATGTGGAATTGCTTGTTGATGTTAGAACCAATATAGTTGGCAAAGTTCAAATGCCAACTGGAGATCTTGTGAATATTGCAGGAATGAGATCCTTGGTTATTGATACAAATAAGGGCAAAAAGTATGTTAGAGAAGTAATTACCTCCCTGGTTTAAAGGAGAACTAGCTCAGTGTTGGTCAAATTGATGAGCATGGATATTTTTTGGTGTTTGGTGGTGGAATGTGCAGTGTGTTTGATGGTCCATCACTGGAATGTTTGGTTATGAAACTAAAGAAGAAAGTGAACAGATGTTATCCATTGACTCTACTACCTGAGAATCAGATTGTCTTGAAAGCTAGTGTCACTCACTCTACAGAGACTTGGCACAAGAGACTCGGGCATTTACATTTTGGTGGTCTTAAACAATTGAGAGACAAGGAAATGGTGCATGGTTTGCTTCAGCTTGAAGACTATAATGGAGTCTGTGAAGGCTGCCAATATGGAAAACAACATAGAGAAGAGTTTCCAAGAAATCAAGCGCAAAGAGCAAATGCTTCACTTGAACTCATTCATGTTGATCTGTGTGGACCTATGAAATGACTCAATTGTTAGAAATAAGTATTTCATGCTGTTAATAGATGATCTCACCAAATGACTTGGGTCTATTTTCTAAGATACAAGTATGAAGCATTCAATTGTTTTAAAAAGTTCAAAGCTATGGCAGAACTACATAGTGGATTCAGGGTTAAGTGTTTGAGAAGTGATAGAGGAGAGGAGTTCAAGTCATTTGAATTCTATCTATTTTGTGAAAATGAAGGAATACAAAAATAGTTCACTCTTGCATATACTCTATAACAAAATGGAGTAGTGGAGAGGAAGAACATAACTGTGATTGAGATGGCTAAATCCACGTTGCATGAGAAGAGGATGCCATACTATCTCTAGGCAGAAGCAATTCATACATCAATGTATATCTTCAATAGATGACCCACAAGGGATTTGAATAATGTCACACCTTTTGAAGCTTATTTTGGGAGGAAACCATGAATTGCACACTTGAGAGTATTTGGTGCACTGTGCTATGTACATGTTCCAAGTGAACACAGACATAAACTTGAGCCTAAAAGCCTAAAAAGGGTATTTATGGGATATGCAACCTGTGAAAATGGTTATAGGGTGTTTGATCCAATATCCAAGAAACTAGTCTTGTCAAGAGATATTGCATTTAATGAAGAAGCTACTTGGAATTGGGAAGAGAACTCAGATTCACTTACTTCCACTACTGGAAGTTTTACTTATGGTGACACAATCACAGAAAGAAGTGACATAATGGTGTTGTCTCCTACATCATTTGCATTACCTCCATCTAGAAGAGTTCTGAGTGTTGAAGAATTTAAAGTTCAATCTAAGACATATGTGAACAAGCCAAACTTGAGTGAAATGCACACTCAAGGATTTGATCATACACCACTGAAGTGGAGGAAGTTGGATGAAGTGTTGGCTCAATGTAATATGTGTATCATGGATCCAGAGAAATATGAAGATGCTAAACAAGATGAGTCCTGGTTAAAAGCAACGAAGGATGAGTTGTTCATGATTGAAAAGAATGTTACTTGGAAACTTGTTGACAGACCAACTGAGCAACCTGTTATAGGAGTTAAATGGGTTTACAAAACCAAGTTAAATCTTGATGGTTCAGTGTTGAAGAATAAAGCAAGGCTGGTGTAAATGCCTATGCATAAAAGCCTGGTTTGGACTACAATGAGACCTAAGCACTAGTTGCTAGGTTGGATACTATTAGAACCTTAATAGCCTTAGCTACACAAAAGAGCTGGAAATTGTATCAGTTAGATGTGAAATCGGCCTTATTGAATGAAGAATTACAAGAAGAGGTCTATGTTGAGCAGCCTGAAGGTTTTGTAGTCAAAGGCAAGGAGAACAAGGTGTCCAAGCTTCACAAGGCTCTTTATGGTCTAAAACAGGCTCCAAGAGCCTGGTATGGAGAAATTGACACCTACTTCTCATAGTGTGGTTTCGAGAAGAGTTTGAGTGAACCAACACTGTACATAAAGACAAGGGAAGAAGATATCTTGATTGTCTCTATCTATGTGGACGATATAGTCTACACTGGCAGTTGTAAATCAATGATAGAAGAGTTCAAGGAAGACATGAAAAATAAGTATGAGATGACATAATTGAGACTTCTTCATTACTTCCTTGAGATAAGAGTGATTCAAACTAACTCGAGTATCTTCATTCATCAGAAGAAGTATGCAAGTTCCTTGTTGAGTAAGTTTGGTTTAAATGAAGTAAAGTTTGTTACAACTCCTCTTGTAGCAACTGAGAAGCTAACTAAAGATGATGGAAATGGATCTGCGAGTGAGGAAATGTATAATAGTATTATGGGAAGCCTTCTATACCTCACTGTAACAAGGCCTGACATAATGTATGCAGCAAGTCTATTGGCTAGATTTATGCACTGTTCTACTAATAGACACTATGGAACTGCAAATAGGGTACTCAGATATATCAAGGGAACCTTGGATTATGGCCTAGAGTACATCAAGGGAACCTTGGATTATGGCTTAGAGTATGTGAAGGGCAGAAGAGCTTGTTTAATTGGCTACTGTGATAGTGATTGGGGTGGTTCATTGGAGGGCAGCAAGAGTACATCAGGATATGCATATTCCTTTGGTAGTGGTATGTTCTCTTGGGCTTCAGTTAAGCAAAACTATGTTGCACTTTCAACTGTAGAGGCTGAATACATAAGTGCATCAAGCGACAACTCAAGTTGTATGGCTGAGGTTTGTTTCGAAGGATTTTGGAGAATTGCAAACTGAAGCAACTCCTCTTCACTGTGATAACACTTTTGCCATTGCCATTACAAAGAACTCTGTGTTTCATCAAAAGAACAAGCACATTGACAGGAGGTACCATTTTATCAAAGATGCATTGTAGGAAAACATCATTGACTTGGTTTATTGTCCCACATAAGAGCAATTCAACTTTAGACTTAAAGGGGAGTGTTGCATTGTAAGTCTATAGCTGATTAGGAATAAGTTTTTGTATTTATGTGTGTATGCACTTGAGTTAAAATACCAAGTGAGAAGTTATATAGTAGTAAGGCTGATAATGCCAGGTGTAATGATCCTAGCAACTAGCTAGATGAAGGGTTAAGATTGCTTTGTAATGAGAGAGAATCCATCTTGGATTCTAACGGTTAGTTAAGCACCGAATGAGTGAGTTTTGGAGAGAGAGAAGCAATTGAATATGCTTTGCAATATTCTGCAGCGAGGAAGAAACCATTTCTAAAATTCTTCTTTGTTCATCCTTCATTCTTTGTTCTTCGATTGCTCATCTTATAACCAGACTCTAAACCAAATCACAACAATATAAACACCTCTAACTTACTAGAAAATTTTAAATTCTTCTTCGGTTGTACATAAAATCTAGCATCTAGTCGAGTTCTGCATATCAAAGGGGCAGTATTCCTTGGACTATTCTGTTAACAGACCCAGGTTGTGTGCATGCAAGTTGTCTAGAGTAGTATGCTCCTCACTCTTTACCCAAATTTGAATCTTCATCCCCGTAGTCTTAATTAAATTTATTAGAATATCATTTGAATAAAAAATAAATAACCTAATAATTTTCAAAGTTGAAGAGAATACTAAACGTTCTCTCAAAGTCTTCCACAACTACAGCAAGCTAAGACATGCTTCAGTGAGATGTAACAAGACTGAGTTTGGAATATTAGCCGGACTGCTAGTTATGCACTTTATTCCGGATTCTCTCGCTTTGCTTTACACATATATATTGTAACTGGATAAGAAGAAAACCCAAAAACACAAATTAATGTAAGAATTGAGAAGTTGTCAACTAAATACTAAAGATAGTGAGTTATCATATCACATAATTAACAAATGAGTTCTACAAACCTGCGGACGCTTCAAGTTTTCACAGTTGTGACATACTTAATAAGCATGCCGACAATATCCGACTGGACCTTTGAGGCTGACTCTTTCAAGTTCTTAATTTTTGTATCAGTTTCCTCTTCAAGCCTTTTCACATTGGACCCAGAACTCCCACTTGACTGCAGAAATTAAATAGCTAATCAGAGAAACTTATCATACATTAGGATCTCAAATTCATTGAAGACCCCTCATGTGTTTGTTATCTCATTTAAAAAAGGATCACATTTTTTTTGGGAACAATGGAGTGATCATGATATATTTGGGTAGTTGAAGTAAGACCAGTTAGTACATCTGAAATTTTCTTTTGGTGCTCAGCCTCCATATTCGTGCGATAGAGTTGCACTTCCCTATCAGCTTCTTCTTTAGCTTGTCTCAAGCGTGCCATCTTTGCTGATGAACGTAACATTATTTTAGAGGATCCATGTCAAGATTTAAAGGGAAAAAAAGAACAAACTGACATGAACATAAAGACAATGGAGGAGAAATTAGCATAAACATGCATTTACAGTTTCTAGCATTGTTCACAATGTGTTGAGCATCCTGTTCTGCTGTTAGCAACATCTGGATGCCTCCTTGTCCTCTAACCGAATCCATGGTGACTATATACCCTACCTGAAAAAGGAAATAATTCCATAGGGATTTAGAGTATTAGTTTGTAGCTTCTGACTAGCATGTAAACAATCAAGAATATATATGAGAGATGAGCAAGAGAGTTAAATAAATGTAGGCGGTCTAGAAATCCCGAATGAACTATCACTATCCGGAACATAAAAATGCACCAGCAAAAGCTCCTACAAGTGTGCAATATATACTGGTTCTTCTTGAACAAACTAGCTATTGGATGTGTTACTTGTTTTACATAAACCGGAAGAGACCTCAAGTTTAAATTTTCCTCCGTCAATTAATGAAAAATAATAATAAAAAGATCAAAAGAAAAATAATAAAAAAAAAATCAAAATCTACAAATCTTGTTCTTGTGCAACAAAGGTGGATGACTCAAAGATATTACCTCTAATTCATGAACAGATACATGCAATGGATCATATATATTATCCTAAAAGTAGTAGCTAATCTCCAGAATAATTAATTAAATATTATATACATGTATATATGGGAAAAGATGATTAAAAAAATTATATGACAGTAAGAATACCTGAATTTCTGCCTTATTGAACAGAAACGAAAAGTTCAAAACCTGAACGAAAAAGATATATTGCCGAAGTCTGTTATCCTTATAAATTACGCTCTCAGAAGGAGGAATGACAATTACTTTGAGATTTAATTAAGTTGGAGAGGAGAGACTCCATCAATAACGGGGTTAGGTTTCAATTTTTGAATCCAGGTCAAAGCCGTTTATCTGTATACGTGTAAGTAATATATTGAGTTAAAAACTACCAGCTGAGATGGGAACTAATTTTGTTGAGAAATTACTGGGTCCTCATACGATCATACCCATTAACCACAAATTTTTAGTCTGTTTTTGCTCACTCCTTAACCCAAGATAACCGTTACCCCCCTCAAAATTGTGCCACGTTGTCTATTTTAACTAATGATAATTACCTATGCATTTAATTAAAAGCAATTGACTCAGTTATCCTATTTTCTTCCTCTCTTTTTGGCTTACGGCACAACTCCACTCTTCCTATCAATAGTCTACTGCAACAACACAAAGAAAATCTCACTCGAGCAGAATAGTAGAAACAGAAAGAAGAAAAAAAACGATGAGCACTGGCTAGAATTGTTTGAGAAAACAAAGATAGAAACTTAAACAAACTAAAAAATTAATAAGTAATAACAAACAAATAAAAAGAAAATTGTCAATAAATTTAAAATAAAAAATAAAAGAAAGAAGAAGATAGATCTTTATCATTTACTGAGTAATCGTGCATGCAGAACGATGATGACTTCTTTACCAATTTTGTTGCCATCCCCTCCTGGAAAGGGCTACCTTAACGAGACGACCAGAGGGTGCGCCGCCATTAAGAGTATAAGCCACCAGAGTAAGGGCTGCCGTGGGCATCGGGGGTCTTCCGAAGGGTGGTGTGATTGTTAGATCCCACATCGTTCAGGGGAGAGGATCCTCTATGCCTTATATGTACATGGCCACCTCCATATAGCATGAGGCATTTTGAGAGTTCATTGGCTTCAGGTTCCATATGAACTCCGAAGTTAAGCAAGATCACGCAAGAACAATCCTAAGATGGGTGACCCACTGGGAAGTTCTCGTGTGAGTTCCCATAAACAAAACCGTGAAGGTGTGGTCGGGGCCCAAAGCAGACAATATCGTGTTACGGCGAAGGCGGGGCCCGAGATGTGGTGGAGCCCAGGTTGGAATGTGACAATTTGGTATAAGAGCCACTCCGTGGTCGGAAGTGTGCCGACGTGACAATTTGGTATAAGAGCCACTCCGTGGTCGGAAGTGTGCCGACGAGGACGTTGGGCCTCTAAGGGGGTGGATTGTTAGATCCCACATCGCTCAATGGAGAGGATCCTCTATGCCTTATATGTACATGTCCAACTTCATATAGCACGAGACATTTTGGGAGCTCACTGGCTTCAGGTTTCATATGAACTCCAAAGTTAAGCGAGATTGCGCAAGAACAATCTCAGGATGGGTGACCCACTGGGAAGTTCCCGTTTGAGTTCCTAGAAACAAAACCGTGAGGGCATGATCGGGGCCCAAAATGGACAATATCGTACTACGGAGGAGATGGGGCCTAGGATATGGTGGAGTTCCTAGAAACAAAACCGTGAGGGCATAATCGGGGTCCAAAATGGACAATATCGTACTACGGAGGAGATGGGGCCTAGGATATGGTGGAGCATAGGTCGGGATGTGACAATAGATGGGGCCTAGGATATGGTGGAGCATAGGTCGGGATGTGATAATAATGTTACGATCCCACGTCGGTTACACTAGCAATGGTGTAGTGGTATTAAGTCTCATGCTAGTCTTTTAGTTGGTTTTATCTTGGGCTTGAGTATCTAAAATTGGTATCACAACCAGTCGTTCGTTCCTCTCAATCCTTCTCCATTGTATACCGCCGTAAATGTTTTGCAAAACCCTGGAATCGAGGGTTTCCAATCGGGAAGCCAAGTTTAACGAGTTCAAGAAGTCTCAAGACGAATTGAGGATTTCTCAGGCTAAATTCCGGGCCGAAGTCAAGACTACCAATGATTTAATTCTTCTTCAATTGAAGTTGCTTGCAGAAAAACTAGGTGTGGAATCTTTTGCAGCTACACCAACGCATCAGCCGTTCATCAAATAGACATCTCCTCTCTCTTGAGAAATCGAATGAAATTGTTCTCAATCTTCAATCCTTCCACATGGAAAAGGTTCGAGCCCGAGATAAAAGAGATGAATTCTGGTCTCAATTTCGTCCAAGATACAAGCCCAAGACTCGTCCTTGTCTTCGACCCATATTGAAGAAATTCAAGAAGGTGCGTGACTACGGCAAACACCACGACGATGATTCTGCAACGTTTCATTCCAATCCCAAATTTCAAGGAAGTTTTGGGGTTTTTCAAAAAGCTTTGGCTCGGGAGAACGAAAACGTTTTCGATTTGTTCGACAAGGAAGCTAAAGATTCAGTGGAAATTCCTCCATTTCGTGATTTTGATTGCAAGACAGGTACCATAAACGATTTGGTTTATGGGTTCCCTGTTTCTGATTGTGAATTTATAAGAATGGAGAAAAAAGTTGCTGATTTGAAATTGTTGGCCAGGAAAGGTGAAGACTCTTGCTCTGTGATGTGGGTATTTGTTCTTTTCCTGATGTGGGTTGTTTCCCTGAAGTGGTTTTAATTTCGGTTGCAAAATCTGGTGAAAATGATGCCCACCATGTGTTTGTTGGACTGCAGCCAACGGTGGACATTGCTTCTTTGAAGCTTGGCTTCCATGAATTCACCCGTGACAAAGGCGGAACAACTATTCAAAGGCTCTTTCATTCGAAATCAGCGACATCAGCGACTGTTCTTGAATCTGATTGTAAGAATGGCAAATCTCAAGTTTTCATTTTGGAAATTCATGTTTCTAATGTTGAGTTCAAGAAAGCTAAATTGCCTAGTTCACGTGCACAACAAAATGTCGAACTCAGGTTACATTCTTGATATTAAGATGGGGTACCATATGAGCATTCGTGATAAAGGTGGTACCAATTTTCTCTTCAGTTTTGAGTCAATACTGGCAAGCTACAAGGACTCAGCTTTCTGTGTTGTTATCGATCGTGACAAGTGTGGAACAATTAGTCAGAGGCTCTTCAATTTGAAGTCCAAGAATAAAGATTGTGTTCTGGGTTCTCATTGGTCCAAGGTGTTCAAATGTGAGGTGAGTTTTGATTCTTCCATGATCATTGATGGGGAAGATGCTGGTTATTTGGGATTGCATCATTTAGAAGCTTGTATAGACAAGAACAGAAAAAATGGAAGTAAGTTCACCTTCTCCAGATTTGAAACTAGTTTCTGTGTTGTTGTCCATTGTGACATGTGCTATTGCAAGGGCATTCGGGACAAGGGTGGAGACTCCAAATTCAGGAAGAGCGCTGGTGATGAGGAAAATATGGTGAATTTGTATTTTAATCGGATTGGTTGGTCTAGTTCTTTGCCTACAAACGAGGAGTCATTTGTGAAAAATGTTCTGCAAAAGAAGAAAATGGCAATGGATGAGTTTCTGATGTCAGAAAAATTGACTTTACAACCTGGAGTTGAAGAGTTTATTGATGATGCATACAAGGAAGGGATTCATGTGGTTCTACTGACAACTTATAGTAAGAGTGGGGATCAAATTGGCAGATCAATTGTTGAAAAGCTTGGCAAGGAAAGAATTTCAAAGCTAAAGATTGTCGGATATAAGGAGGTTGACCTAAGTTTGTATACCTAACTAGTAAATGATACAGGATTATCGTCTAGTATGGATAAGCAACTAGCTAAGGAGGCAATAAAAGTAGTTTTTGCTGAGAAACAAAGGATTGCAGATGAGGTGGCATCTATGCTACAGCTAAGTGTAGATATCGATACTAGCCCGCCTGAAAGCTTAGAGAAGATCATTGCTGCATTCCGAGTTGGGGGAGAAGTTGCTGGACTACATGTGTTCTTATTTCAAATACTCATTTCTCTTGTCTAAATGAATCTGGAAATTCTATTGATTGTAGCCAAGATGGAATGATTAGGGTGGTGATGTTGGTTACATATACTACTTGCATAGTTGTAGGTGGAGTATTTGTAGTACATATATTGAGTTGAGCAGGGCAGGGAAGATGACATTCCCAATTGTTAGTGAAGATTATATGGTTCATAGCTTTCACATGCAGAAGAAGCTTCCATTTGGAAGTTCTGTTCATGGCTCTTTTGGGGGTGCAAGATAAGAGTCATATACTTGAAGGTGGGAAAGGCATCTACACTACAACTTTCACATCTAGTTTATTAACTGGTAGAGGAATGATGACAATGATAGATATTGGTATTCTTAAACATTTTAGTAGCGAATATGTTGAGCAAAGGAAGTTGGATGCTGCCTTCACGGTTGCAAAGCACATACCAATTCTGGAGGATGAGTCTAGTGTTTTAGGTTCATTATTGTTAAAGCTCTGGAGTAGTAATTTGATCTGGGGAGCTAGTATTACTATGCTGCCTGTTATGAGCTAGTATTACTTTGCTGCCTGTTATAAAAGTTATTATTGCAATTCCACCTTTCACCACTATGATAGTTTGGGTTCGTTGTCAACATTTATGTACGAAATATGCTAATGGACTTAAAACCTTGAGGACAAGATCTCTGATTATGGGAGGGTGTATTATGGTGTTGGGTTCTCAATGGTCAAGCCTTGAAGTTGTCCAGCTTTGCAGATCAAATTCTTCAGGTTTTTCAGTTTCAAGCCTTGCTGCAAGGCTCATTTTATGGGGGAAAACCAAGAGTGGAAATAAGCAGTAAAACATCAAAGATGCAGAACCCAGAGAGAACAGAGAACTATCTTGTTTGCAGATATTATCAAGCTTTGAATGTGGAGGGTACTCAATTAGATATGAGTGTAGTGTTTCAGTTCATACTTCTTTTTCATGTTCCATGTTCTTGCCTGAAAAAGCATTTGGGAAAGTACAAACCACGGTGCCATTGCCAGTTATCACAGATGCTGGGAATTTGCAAGAGGCACCAGTTGCAATCTTGGACAGAAGAATGATCAAGAAAGTGCTACAGCTACGGAAGCCTTAGTTCAATGGCAAAACCACTCCAAAGATGATGCTACATGGGAACTATACCATGAACTGAAGCTTAAGTTCCAGAAATTGTGAACCTTTAATACATTCT